ATGGTGGAGATTGGAGCTCCATTTTCCCTGAAGGGGCTTTTTGGAAATCCCATCTGCTCCCCAGAGTACTGGAAACCCAGTACATTTGGTGGAGCTACTGGCTTTGAGATTGTTAAGACAGCATCGCTCCAGAAGCTTGTGTGCCTCAACGTGAAGAAGTGTCCCTATGTGGCATTCCATGTGCCAGATGCTGCAGAAAGCAGCAGCCCTCGGGGTGGTGGATCTACAGAGCTCTAGCACCAGGATGACCTGCCCAGGTAGGAACTGTCCTTGCCCAGGCACTGGCTGAGCTGAGCTCAGAGCCTGGTGCTGAGCATTCTGTTCCTTCCTGCAGGGAATGGCAGGGACATAGACCTGCCCACCCCTGTGTCAAGCAGAAGTAGGACAGGAGATGATCACATCCTGGATGTCCTCCACACCAGCCCTTGAGAGGAGTCTGCTCCTGCTCTCTGAAACGCTCGAGTGCCTTGGGAATGTGGCTGCCACCAATGCCCACAGCAGACTCAGTTCTCTTGCTAGTGAATTTCTTGCCCAAAGCCAGCTTTGGGGATCCCCAGGGACGCTCTGGACTACCCTGCACTTTGTCACCCTCCATCCCCACTGCCTCCCAGCACCAGGCCACCAGCAGCCCCTTTTCCACAGGGCTTCCCTGCTCGGGGCAGCAATGCAGAGTCTGAGGAGCCCTTGTACTCCTTCCTCCTCTGCTGCACCTGGTTAAGTGATGAGCTCCCCAAGGGAGGTGGAAGAGGAGGTGGCAGCACACAGAGGGATGGGGAGGACACAGTGTACATGTTTGTGCTGCCCCATTGGTGGCTGAGCTTGCAGTAGGAACCTGCCCTGATCCATTTCTGCATCCTCCAGACTGTCTACCCCAGCCTGGCCAGCACACAGGCACAGCAGGGACACAGCCAGCAGAAAGAACCAAAGCAGTGTCTTTCATAGAGGACACCAGGGGAGAATCATCAGATCAGACCTCTCAGACCTCCTGTACCTCCCACATGCTGGCTTGGATCCTGGCACACACCACTTGCTGCCCAACCCAGGGCTGCTGGGAGCAAGATGCTACCTCTGTGCAAACACACACTGTGCAAACACACACTCTGTGCACACGCACACTCTTCCACCACCACACCATCCTCGCACTTCCCTGCACTCACAGCTCAGCAGACACATCCTCATATCATGCAGAACCTGCTTCTGTCCTGCTCCTGAAATGCACACATACATCAGCCCTCACCCAGCCCAGACACATGGTAGTTCGCAGCCGCTGTCACTGGACAGATCATGGTTCACCTCGAAGAAAATGGACATGTTAAATAATAAATGATTTTTGAAACTCCTCTCCATGGGGGTCTCTGAGCCTGAGTGTCCTGTGCAGGCTTGAGCTGTGCTGCTCCAATGCCAGAGTTCATTTGGACAATGCTCTCTGGCACATGGTGTGATTATTGGAGCTGTCCTGTGTAGGGCCAGGAGTTGGACTTCAGTGATCTTTGTGGGTCCCTTCCAGCTCAGGATGTTCTGTGATTCTATGATGACACTGCTTACACCCAACATTGTGTGTTTCTACCCCATAAATCTGGCTGGCAGGTGTTTTGTAGGCGTGAAATAGTCACAGAGCCTTCTCACTCGCTCTCCTTAACCCTTCAGAAGTGAGGTGGTTTTACCAGGATATCATCTGGATTTTGGTTTCACGGTGGGCTGAGGTGAGGCAGAGAGGCAGACACGACCCATAGAGGCACAGCAGGCAGGTTCACCTGCTGCATGCTCACCTGGGCTGGCCCTGCCTGTGCCCTGCCCAGCTGTCCTGGCACAGAGAACCTACTGCTCTCACCATGCCGTGCAGAAGTGCTGAGCAGCAAGAGGAGCACACAGTCCTTTCCCACCCACGCTGGGATCCACATCCTCCATTTCTCCAGCCAACTGGAGCTCGCTGCCAGATGTGTGTGAGTGACTGCCCTTCCCAGTGCTGAGCTGCTCCAGCCTGGAATATCCTTCCCCATCTGATGAGAGGCACAAGCTCAGCTCGTTTCAGTTAGACCACAAACATCCTGCATTTGTTTGTGGCTATCACCAGCTGCCAGTGCTGGTTTGGTACCAACCGATAATGCACAAAGCCCCTCAGGCACATGAAGAGCTGCCTGGATGCTCCCTCCACCAAGGGGGAATGTTTCACTGGAACTAGCTCAGCTGAGCCAGCACTGGCAAACCTGAGACCTCTTCCAGCCATGCCACCAGTCCAGGATAGCAAAGCATCTTCCCCCTGCTAGCAGGAAAAGCTTGGAAAGTGTTTCTTTGTAGGACCAACAGGTACCAACCCCAGGCACAGCATCCAACACACTACTGAAACCTCCTCCAGGAGCACAGGGACACACAGCTCCACACATGGAGCTTCCCCCAGCACAGCACAGCACAGCACTGCTGGGCCCTTGGTTTGCATCTGGTGCACCCACCAACATCACCCACCCGCAGCAAGGGCTCCCCATGTCCTGCACTGCCAGGAGCTCTGGGGCCCGCGCAGAGCTGAGCGCTGCCAGATGGACCCTCTGTTTGAGCTCTTGGTAAACACAGCTCGGAGGACATCCTCTGAACTTTTAAACAAGCCTCCGAGGAGCTCAGCTGCAGTTTGCCTGTGCAGGGACAGATGGGGACAGGAGGACAGAGATGCCTGGGTTTGTGCAGCGACAGTGACAACATCCACCTGGGGTTGTGTGGCCTCGGAGGGATGATTCACCGAGCTGAGCTCCAGCTGAAGGGCCTGAATGGAAAAACAATCCCCTTTCTGAGGAAATCACTGCACTCCCCCAGCTCTCCTCCACAGGCCCCTCTGCCACGTGTCAGGCCAGGGATTGCACAGGAAACCTTGTTCGGGCTTTCAGCAAAGGCATGTTTTGAAGGTTTTGGAAAGAAGAGGTAGATTGGGAGCCAAAAAAGTATCAACATAAATTTTTCTTTGCTAAACCTCGACCTTAACTGCCTGGCACCCAGGTTGGCACCATGATTAAATGCCCACGTTAAGCTCACCCCAGGATTCCAATCCTGCCCTTGTCAAGCAGCCATCCCAGTTTCCTTGTGCACTGACATTCCATGGCCAAATTCTTCTGTCTGTATTGGAATACCATTAACTGTGAGTAAACCCAGAGTGATCCCATGCTCCTCTCCCGGAGCAGAATTACACCCACCTGTAGAACCCATCATTCCTGGCTGCCTGCCCACAGTGTGCTGCTTTTTCCAAAACAAAACATTTCCCAGAGGCAACACAACCTACCTGACAAGTGTTTGTTCAGTTCCTATTTATAGTACATGCAGATTTAGCTCCAAGAACAGGCAAAAGCAGCAGATTTTTTTCCTCAGCACAGCCTCCTCCCCCTCCTCATATCCATGTGGCCTGTGCACAAATGAGAGCAGGCAGGGTGACAGTACACCTTCTCTCTACCCCTCCCTTGTGCTTACTGTATTCTTCCAGATCAATAATTAATTGGATTCATACCTTTTTTCTTCTCCTTTTTGCTTGTGGCACTTCAAACTACCTCTCCCATACCTGAGCACTGGCAGTTCCTCACCAGGAGTCACCTTGCTGCAGGCCATGGGACACAGAGCAGCAGGAGAGGGTTTGATCCTGTTAGTTTTGCTGCCACAGGGGCTAAAGAAAAAAGCACTTTATAAAAGTAAAGCTTCAAAGCAACTCAGGCAGTCAGCTCTCCCCTGATCCCCCCTCCAAGCCAGGTTTGATGGTGATGCTCACATGCACTGTCTGCAGGACAGACTGCACTCAATCTCATCCTGAGCAGAAATTACAGCTACTTTGATTTTTCCCTTAAATGTGCTGATATCCACACTCAACAGTTTAATTTCATCTAACTTACATGGGTTTATTTCCCTGCCATTCTGAGATGAAAAGAAATAATCTCTTAGCACATTTAAACCTCTGGATTTCTGCCAATTTCCTTAAGACAGCTACAATTTGTGCCAATTCAGTCATTTTTAATTACAGATTATTTATTTCCTGCTCACACTACTTTTTAAAACACAGTTCAAATAGATACAATTACAAATTCTCCTTCTTCCATCCCAAGATCCATTCTTATTAAGATCCTAGTGCTTACACAGACACATTTGCATTTCTTCCTGGTGTTCCAAAGTGCTTTACATAAAAGTTGTAATTAAATTTAATCATTAAACACAGCATTACATTGGGTCATACATTTAGGTAATGAGAGTCTACTTTCTACTACTGAAGGCAGACAGAAATGAACTTTAGCACTGATTTAGTATTTTTAGAGAGGGATGAAACTCTGAGGCTGTCCAAGTCCTAATTGTGCATTTTACTAACAAACTTCTCCTTGCTGCTGTTGAGCACACACGTTGGAGCTCTTTGTGACATCTCTCTGAAGAGGCAGAGCTCATTTTCTGATGAAGTGACTACTGTGAACTCCAAGGATGGGTGTCTTGGAACCCAACAATGTATTAAGAGCTGTAATTGCAAGGTCTTCTCATTTAAGTCTCAGGCAAGGTTAAAGGAAGTCTTCAGCTGAAAAGCAATTTTCAGGACGGAGTCAGGGGTTGCTATTTCTAGGTGAGAAAGGAACACAAATTTGAGGCCAAGTGTTAGAGGAAGATACTTCCAAGAAGAGGAGTGCAAATTGGGGGATGGAACTTGGGACCTCATACTATTAACTGGCAGCAGTTCAGCACCAGGTTAGTAAGTCCTGAATTTAAAATTCTCCTTTATTTGCAGTCTCAATTCTTGTGTTAGGGAGTCAATGGCCACATCTCAATCCAGTTGGTATTCAATTACACTGGCTCAGGAAACCTGCAGGGGCACTGACCACACACTGCTGATCTGAGAAGAAAATGTTTAAAACAGATTTGGAGAAGAGAGATGACAACACACAATTTCCTCAACTTACTGAAGTGTGTTAGAACTTGTTTAGCAAAGCACACTTGAATTGCATAGAAACAAGACTGTTTTAGTTGTACTTTATTGAATTAATTTAAGAAAATGTTAGGAATTCCTTATGTTGTTTTTCACAAGCAAAAGTCAAAGTGCATGAAGGGGAGGAATACATACCCACACTAAAGAGGAGAGAGAACAATCCCTAGCACAAGAACATCCCACAGTACAACTACACCTACAGGCCCTTGTTGCAAGTGGTTCAGTCTATTTCCAGATCACTGTCTTCACTGTAACATGCAGATGGGTTATGTATGGAAGTCAGGAGCAGCAGGTCTTTTTCTGGCAGCAAACCACATTCCTGCAGAAAAGCCTCCAGGTCTACAGCAAAGAAATCTTCCCCCAGCTGGTCAGTGATGCGCACGAAGTTGCCGATGAGCTCTCCTGCCTTGTAGACCAGCAGGGCTGGCAGAGCATTGTTAGTGAAGCGAGTGCTGGCACCAATGAGAGAACTCTTCACCCTGCAGAACTTCACTGTTGGGTACTCTGCAGCCAGGCAGATCATGCAGCCGTTCAGGGACTCAGTGCCAGGGATATCATCTTCATAGATATGGATCATGATCAGTGTGCTCTTATGCTCTTTGTCAACAGTGTCCAGAAAAGCTTCTCCACTGGTGATGTCAAACACCTGTTTGAACTGCTGCCCACTGTACAACTGCTGCCTCATCTCCTCCATGCGCTGCTTCCTGTAGCGCTGCAGGAACTCCTCATCATCCTCAGCACTGTGGATCATGTTATATTCCTGTAATGTCATCTGAAAAACACACACAGGGATACGTGAAAGGATCTGCACCACTATATGGGTCACTTATATAATCAGAACGTAAATCAAGAGGATTAATGTGGGTCACTCATCTTTAATAACACCAAAGTGCAACACATGAAGGCTCAAGCACCCTCTGTGTTACACTCCATTCTGATCTAATTAGAAACCACCTCCAGTGGGAACAGTGATTTCAGCCCTGGGTATTCCAGTTTCCACAGCTGCACTAATCACACAAGTGGCTGCTCCCTGCTCCCACTTTAATCCAGGTTAATGGTGGCCATGTGCTTCCACCGAGCTGGGAGTGCTGATTTGGGAACCATGCCTGGCCTAAGATGAGCTTCTTTCTCATCAGCTTTTCCATTTAACTTTTCAGTTCAGGTTTTGTGGCACCTCCCTGTCTGTAGAACTGAAACTAACAGCATTTTGTGTATTTCATATCTGTTCACTTGCTTCATTGAACTCATCTGCATCATTCCAGGTACAGGAGAGCAGAGCCACCTTTCATCACCTGACAGCAAAAATAATGCCTGTTAATTACTAACTTCTCTGGCTAGAACTGGAAGAACTAGTTTACAGCCCAGCTGGCTAAAACCACTCACCAGCTCCAATGCCTTCAATCTTCACAGCTCAAGCTGAATTCTCAATATCCATGTACTAAATATGAAATCAGTAAGGGCTCCTGAGCTCTTGTTTCAGGCAGGGAAGGCAGGAACTCTAGCTGTTCTAGTTGTTTGCTGTACAGCTCTTGGTATTAATCCCTTAAAATTGACTTATTTGATAACAGACAATCTGGGAAAAGGTTTTGAACTTCTTTGCTTTTGCAGCTAGACCACCTATCTGTTATGACAGGCAAAGGAAAATGTGAAACATTCAAGTGGCATTTGAATTCCTTCGTGCCATGCTACCTTTCCATTGAGTTTTTCCTGAAGCTCTTTCTGTTTCTGCTTCTCAGCCTCATCATCCAAGTGAGACCTGCACGTCATGGACAACTTCTTAATGAGCCTTTCCATCTCCCTGCGCTGCTCCTGCCGCTGCTCCGTCTCCAGCTGCTTGAATCTTCTCCAGTCATTGATGACTCCTTTGGGACCTGAAATAAGTGTGTAGGCATTTCATATCAAAGGGTAATACCATTAGAGGTATCATTTAAAATCAAGTAACGACACTGGCCCTTTTTGTAACTGTGTAAAACACTGGAATGAAAGAAGCAATTTGCCATTTGCATGTCCTTGGGTTTGTATCTATTTTTTTAATAAGAAGACTAAAGCTTATCTAAGTAGGTTATTCTCATAATTGTCCCAAAGATTAATATCTGTGCTCTTGAAACAGAACCATCACCCCTCAACAGTTCCCCCACTGTGAGCAAATAAGAAAAATAAGGTTAAATAGCCAGGGAATGATAAACCTCTGACTCAACCAGGACTCTCATTTCAAAGACTGAATTTTTGAAAAATACATGGAATTTCCAATACACAAAGCATTTACAGACCAGTTTGAAGTGACCATACCTGTGTTGACAGCGCTGCCATCGCTGCTGAGCTCCACCTCTCCCACGCTTTCAGGGATGCTGCTCTCCCCTTCTTTGTCCTCCTTCTCACTGTCTTCATCCTCACCCTCACTACTGCTGTAATAGTACTGGAGCTTCTCACCAAGCAGTTTATCATCCAGAGAAGTCATTATGTCCTAAAAAATAAAGTGACAGAGGAGGGAATGCACCTCTGATCAAACATGCAGCGTGAGGTACCACTCTAACTGCATCACCATGGCCCTTTCCCTCCTCAGGGCACCTTTTAGCCCCAGCACAGCTCACAGCCCACCAGCCACCAGTGCAGCCTGGCACCTGGGCTAATCCTTAGTCACCGTTTGGAACTCACTTAAGTTAAAACCTTCACCAACAGAACTGCTCTGAGGCTCACTAGTGAAAACACTTTTTGTGCGTTCTCACCCATAGAGGATTAATTTTCTAACCGCGATTCAGGAGCCTTATCAGCCTCACTGGACAGCTCCACCAGCCAGTTATTGCAGTTGAATTTTCCAGTATTAATTGCTTTAACAACGGTTTATATTTATCGTGCAGTGAAGCAAATGATAACGTTCTGACCTGTACTCCTCTCCAGTCTGTCAGCCACAAGCTCCTGCGAAGACCTGAAGAAGAGACTTCAGTCAGCTCTGTGCTCAGAGCTGTCCCGGCAGAGTCCCCGGGCCGGAGTGCGACACAGACCGCGATGGGCCCGGCAGGGCTCGCAGTGTCCCTGCCGAACG